CCCACCACCCAAATTTGGATCCTAGCGTCCCGCTTTGCCCTCCGGAAAATCTGGTCACCTTACAAAGACTTTTTTAATGAATCAATGTTTTATGCTATGCAAATTTTCAAGTTATCACAATGAAATTTTTAAATTTCTTTGTGAAAGATTCCTTTCTTAATTTTTTAAGCTTTTTAAATATAATTCCGGAAATTAATATCTTTTCATTGTCTGTTTCAGCAAGTGATACATTAAAGCAAAACTAGATGTGATTAAGTTAGGTAATTAAACTAGATGTAATTTTTAAATTTCTAATAACAAAATAAGGAATCGTGTTTGCAGAAGTGAAATACATTAATTTAAAATGCAATTATTGTTTCAAATAAAGTTTATCTATTTAAAATGTGTCTTAAATAGACATTTCTATTTATATTAATTTTTGTTACATATATTAAATTTTCTCTAATGGATAAAATTCTGTTAAAATACAGTTTGAAATTTAGTTTCATTTATAAAAGGAAGTAACTTGTACTTTTGGAGAGAACATTTTGACTTCCTTCATATATAAGTAATGATGAAATGTAATTAATTTCCTTATTTTTTATTTTGTTATTGTTTAAATAATTTATGTATCTATTTAAAAAATTAATACTATAATTATACTCTCTCAAGTACGAAATGCTTTTACGTAGTTGGTTTTCATGTTTTTCTTAATAGTAAAGTGAATACGAGCTGATTTCCCTTACAAAGTCCTCTGGAAAGGCAGCCCTGTATGTTTTGTCATGTTTAATTAATCTAACCTACAAAATATTTTTCTTTAACTAAATCTCTTAATAAGGAAATTGGGTTACTTTAATAACACAACTTAAATATATTACAGTCAAAAGTCGTTAATCCGAACTCGTCGGGACTTCGGCGATTCCGGATTATCGATTTTTCCGGATTATAGATCATCAGTTTAAATCTCGTAAGATGGCATGCAGAAATTCTAAAATTAAAAATATGAAACCGTAATTTATGAAAAAGAGAACAATTATGATCTAAAGGGTATCAAAATTTGCAAAAAGAAAAAGCTTAATATTTATTTGTTTACTTTATTAAACATTTCTTTCAATGTAAGTTGTTTAAGTTTTGCTTCGTTTCATGTGATAATACTTTCTCTTTAATTCTATTAAACAGACATAATTTCTTGTTCAGTTACAAAGTTCCGCTGTTCAAGTCCTATAATTGCTGTGTCGAGAACACCGACTAATTTGTCAATCGAAATTTTTTTCGTTTTCAATAACCTCTGTCACTTTTCTTCGCTATCGGAAGCGAATTATAATGACGAGGAACTTGTTTTAAATCATATCAAAGACGGAGCATATCGAGATGAAATACTACATTTGGTAAAGAAATTATAAGCCAAATAAAATAAAAACATCTGCGCTGAAGATAAGGATAGTGTTGACAGATCAACTTCCAATTCATTACGTCGCGGCGTTCCCCCCGCCGAGCAGCGTGAAATTGATAAACAGATTTCGGATTTCAAAACATACTTTCGCTTTAGATCCTTTACATATTAACAAATATATATCGGAAATTTTATTTGATATAATCGAAAGTTTAAGCTTACTTTTATAAAATTGCTCTTACAGTCTGCAAAAAATAATAAACCGGATCCAATTCGAAAATTAAGGAACAACGCAATCATCAACATTAACTGAAATAGATAATTAGATAATTTTAGCTTATACGTCCATTATACATAAAACGCGCACGCGAAAACGTATTCTGCACTTGCGCACACTCATATGCGCAGTTGTAAAAGGTCTTACGCGCACGCGAAAAAGACTCTGCGCATGTGTCAAGGCGGCGCATGCGCAGAAAGTTTTTAGTTTTGAGGTCCGGATTATAGATCATTCCGAATTATGGGTGTCCGAATTAACGACTTTTGACTGTATATATAAAAGCGTGGAGGGGGGGAATCCAATATAATACATTTTAAAAATAATCTCGGAAATTTGCATAGAAACACGTTAAAAGTTCAGTATTGTAAGGTAATATGTCATTTATAAAAGTTCAAGAATTAAAATAACTTATTATATATAACTAGAACCTGATTATGGAAGTATGGCATCATTTGTAATGTGATGTTAAGTACCACACATTAATTAATTAATTATTTTGTGAAATTAATTTTAAAATATAGCAGAGTGATGAAAGTGCTAAAATAAGGTGCATAAAATAAATTCCTTTTTCACATTATCTTTTAATATTAAAAAGAACAAAAAATGAATTATATCTACCAATTAAAACTGACCCCCTAAATTAAAATTTCTAAACAGTGAGACAAAAATGAGAGCAAACTTTTGATGATGCCCTTGCTTCTGCACTCTTTCTAATACAAATAAAAGTTAATCGATTATCAGCTCATTATTTCATTTTGTTCACAGTATTAAAATTACTGGTACTTACGTACTGTCGCAAACCATCTTAGTAGAATTAGCCTAATTTTCAGAAAGTACCAAACTATAGCAATCATGCGCATAGCCATTCTTCCGGCAGCTATTCGCGTAATAATCGTTTCAGTCAAGCAACGCCGCCGGTTTCGTATGCGTTCTATTTTGTTGTCTTCTAAGTTCCAACAGTTTTTATACACAAGTCGAGATATTTTTTTCTCTTAAACTTGGTTTTAAAATATGAGTTTGTGGAATTCGCCAGCAGTGAAAGAAACTACGGTAAAATTTCGGCCGTAATACAGAATTTTGCTGAAATTTTTTTAACGGGAACAAAGAGAAAATTCGCTTTCTAGATAGCCGCTGTTGACGAAGATTGCCCGAAGCCGAGTTTCCGCAATTCTCTGATTATTTTTTTAATGAAACGAGATTGCTGTGTACTTCAGAAGAATAACGAAAAAAGGTACAGAAAGATTCGAAGAAGAATGTGTCCCCCCCCAAATGTATTACATAATGCTTATTTAATAATTCAAATTTGTAGTTTAAATTACTAAAGTATGTTTTAGTTTCCTATTTTGATGCTGTTTACCAAGCTTACTATGGATATCGATAGTTTGGGATTCTAAAAAAGAAGGCGTGGCTCACCAGCGGCCGAGCAATAAAGTCGCTGAACACTGGTAGTTCGGTCCGAGGTTCGAATCCCGCGAACGGGCTGGCTGCATGGGCGTTTTCGTGGCTTTCCTCATGTGTAACGTGTATACGAGCCAGTTTCCCTTAGAAAGTCCTCCACGAAGGCATCCCTACCCTTAGGCAGATAGCCTTCAAGGCTTTGCCATAATCACACACACACTAAAAAAGAAGGCGCGAAAACCACCATCTGCTAAGTAACCTTTGCATTATCATCCTTAAAAAACTCTTAAACTTGCACTAAGAGGGTTGCGATAGTACGTAAGTACCAAATTATGCTTTTATTATTATATATTAATTATTAATTGTATCATTTACATCAGTAAACACTGCTTACCTGAAAATTTAGCAGTGACGATATGTTCGAGTACCAGAAGGAACAGGACTAAAGAAATGATCACAAAAATCCTCCAGACAAAAAACTCTATATTACCACTGGTCAGCCTCTCTTGATAACACTAAATACGGTAGAACCTGTATGCATTCATCACAGAATATTCTACGATTTCTTAGTATTACACAAAATAAAAACACGCTATAAACTATCGGTATTTTTAATTTAAAAAATAAAAAAGAGTATCTAAAATCGCGAGCTATTAACATAAAAAATAATTTACTTCCTAAGGTTTATTGAAACATTTAACAATGAATCCGGGGGGGGGGTAAGGTCAGAGCGCAGGAATACCTCCCATTAAAGAAGAATTATGTGGGCAAGGTATGGAGAACATAGTAATTTCTTGCGGTCACATTAAATGTTTGCTGTGACATGTACGTGACACCCGTGCGACTTTAATATTCAAATCGCAGTGTGACTTCTTTGATGTTGAACCGTGGTCACTGCTCTAATGTGATGAAAATGTAACATCGGGATGTCGCAGCAACTGAGTGTGCTTATATGGGTCAGTACTGCTGAAGGAAATGCGCTTAATTAACAGACTGTTCATATCGGTAATGTGTGTGTGTGGGAGGGGTCTAGCTTTGTTAACCAGGGAAAAAGTCACATTTCTGACTTATTTAGCTGTAGTGCGTTTTTTTTTTTTTTTTTTTTTTTTTTTTTTCGTTTTTTTGCTTTTTTGTTTCAGTGGTGACGGTTCTTCTCAGCTTATATTTTCCATTGCGAGTTTCATATGCAGAATCACCTACGTGAAATAGTATGAGCCGAACACGGCGCGATTTGCTCAGCGTTATGCCACTTCGTCCCATCCTTGGACGAATAATATAAAAACTTCCTAAGCGCATTTTAGTTTTATTTGCTCCTTAGAAATTCTGCTTGAACACATGGAATATTTTATATATTTCTTTTCACTGTGAAAATCCAACTTTTAAAGGAATTAAAACATATATATATTGTTGTTTTTAGCGTCTTACCAACGTAAAAGAAACATTGACGAATACCTGCGAACGTAGAAAACCTAATTAATCATCTTTGAAGAGATACTCTCCTTCTTATCCGTTTCAAGGAGCTTAATGCATTAATTATTTGTTTTTAGTTGGTGTTACAACAGTTAATCAGACACTTTTATCCAGAAATTACTATGAAAATAATTTTGGTTTCCAGATTATATGCTGCAACATTTTAAAAATTTTCTAACAGTTGGGAACAAATTTATATAAAAGGGCATTTTTCAATTATTCTAGTAGTTCAGTTTTATTAAGAACTACTTCTTATGAAAAATTGATGTTATGGATTTATTATACCTTAAGAAATATGACCTCTTTCTTCTTATTACTTTACCCCTTGAGATTTTATTCTATACTTTAATAATGCAATACTTTATCGATTATGACACATTCTTTAAAACGATATCTATTTGGCGCTATTATTTTTTAAATTATTTTCTTTTCTTGTTTTCGAATCAGAATTGTGTATTTATCTGGCAACTCAAGTTGCCAAATTCAAATTTTTACCAGTCAGCGCCATCCTTTGCCGTTTTTGTGCTCGTTTCTGCCATCTGCCGCTTGCTAGGAAAGCGCGGGATATTGTTAGATCAGCATCACTGTTTGTACGGCGTTTGCCATTTTCCTTCTGAAGGACTTTTTATCGGTAAGATTTAATTTTAAGTGAATAAAATAGTACATCATTAGTTGATTATTTATAATTTTTTACTGTTAATTTGTGTAGCGTAGTTAATATTTGATGAATTTTACAAAATTCTTGTTTATACAGTTTGATTAATTCTGAGCGTTTCTTCCTTGGACGCTAAGCCGTAAGGAATTTTTGTAAATGTTAAATATATATAAAAATACTTACCCTTTATGTATGTAAAAATAGATTAGTTCCATCTCTTTCATCTACTATTTTTTATTTATGAGGAATTGTTAATTATTATTTTAATAAAAATTTGTGTATTTTTGTCTTCGTATGTAAAATGGCTAAATTGAATAAGGATCGGACAGTTCGCGTTCATGGCATAAATATTTCTGTCAAATAATTTTTTAGTCATTATTATATTGATGATAGGCAAAGCATTTTACTGCATTATTTTTAATAAACTTTTCTGCGTAAGTTTTGTTCGTAATTCGTTGCTTGAATTTTTTTCCATTGCTTAGTGAAGTTGATCTTAGGTTTTAACTGCTTATGCGAGTTTTAGTTTGTAACTATATTTATTGTTGTTATTATTGTATCCTGATCTTTTTTATTGTTTATTGTGGCTGCAGAAAATTGCTCAAAATTACGAATTACTGAATTCTTCATGTAATTGAAATATGATGTACTTCACTTTTTTTAGCGTTTATGGCCTAATGGAGTTCAGATTAATGCGTAATGAATAATTATTAAACATTTATAAATACTAATAACTTTTTCCTAATGCTATTTACCTTTTTGACGATCTTATTACATTGTAAGTAATTTTAAGTTAAAAGGAAAGAAAAAAGTCCCATGCTGTGCAAAAGCTATTATATTAATTAATGAGTAAAAATTATTTCTTTAATATAGGTATTTATGCTATTGAAAGCTTTCCTATCACAAAGCAGTTTATGAAATGTTACACAAAGTTATCTTAATTAATAATAGTAGTATTGCACATTATAATAAGTTTCTTTTGCTGTTTGGTATTTGCTAATTTAATTCAATTAATACATGTGCATCATCTCTTTGTTGTATTACATTTCACAGCTATACTTTTTCAGATTGAAAGTTTATAGGATTGCTGTGTCTAATTAATTGAATAGCAACATTTTGCTAATTTCATTTGTTTACTGCATTTTATTAATACCTTTTCTGTTAAAACTATGTTCTAGACATTTTTGTTTCTTCCAAAATCTAATTTAATAACATTTGTGAACATTATACATTTTCTATGTATGAATTCTTAATCCTTACAGTACTTAATTGCAATCATATATTATAATAAAATTTAGATTATTAATCTTGTAGCTGCTTTAACATAGCACATCAGAATGGCATGTGTAATTTTAAGTCCAAAGCTAGAAATGATTAGTATTAGAGATGTTGAAACTAGGCATCCTGCATCATCTGCCTATATAATCTTAAAATATTAAAAAGAGATGTTCTTTATTCAAGAATTAAATAAAAGAGCTGCAAATAAATTCCTTGAGTGGTTAATATTCCAATACTTTCTTGTTAAAATGGCTTCTGTCATCCAAATGTGCAGTCTTCCCCAAATGGTCTGTAGGCATGGTTGTGGATATCAGATTAATCCTGCACAAAAGGTAAAGGAAGACTAGAAATGAGTTCAATATTAGCTTATGATGTTTTCAGAAGATGCTTTTATATCATAGACTAATTAAAAGTATTGATTTTTTTTAAATGGTGTCTTTAAATAGTTCTGGTTAAAAAATATTTTAGGCTTTCTGCATTAATTCTGTATTGTTAATCATTTGCTTGCTGTTTTATTTGGGGGATATGAAATAGTTAAGGTATAAAATATATTCAACCTGAATGTGTGAAATTAAACATAAAATTACAAATCTGGTATATTTTCTAAGATTTCTTTTGACTCTTGTTTTAGCTTGATGTTTTATGAGAGTAATTTTTTCTGTCTTTCCACAAGAAACAAGCTTAACAATTCTTAACCCAAAATCTTTATGATTCTTGAAATGGGATTTTGCATTAGTTCTCTATAAATGCCGAATTACTTTTCATATGGATGCTACCAAATGTTATTGCCTTGCATAATTTTTAAAGAAATTAAATAATGAAGAATCTGTGGATGTATGTATATATGTTGCACTGTGAAAAAAACAACAGTACCTAAAGCCATCAGATTTTGAATAATGTCCTCCATTCAAACATGTTAAATTGCCTATCAAATTGTTGCCACCAAATATTATTGCCCTGTTATTTTTTAAGAAATTAAATAATAAAGAATCTTGTATGTATCTCTCCCAATGTGAAAAAACAACAACCCAAAGCCATCACATTTTGAATAATGTCCTCCACCTGAATTTTGAATTTGTGTTATTACCTATTTTATAAAGCTTTTTAAAAGAACTTTATTAAACCCAACAATTTTAAAGTGGTTGTTTTCAACACTGTACAGAATGAAACATTTTCTCTCCAGTGCATGAATGAGACTGTCTATTGAAAATTCTAAAGGTATCGTATTTCTAAATATTTTGTGTTTTTGCTGTTGAACTGAATTTTATGTGTCACAAGTATGAAAAACGAGAAATTTAATGAATATAGCTAACACACAAAATGCTAATAATAAGCCATTTTACTAAGAAAACTGAACATTGTTATTTTAAACTTATTAATATTGAGAAAAGACTCAAAAAAAAAAAGGGTGGGGTAATATATGCAATGAAAAAAGTACAAAAATGTATGCCAGTAGTTTTAATGCTGCATTGGGAATTTTAAGCATGTGCTGCTTTTAAAATTTCTGTGATATTGCTATTGAATAATACATGACTAAGTGTGAAGAAAACAGTGCTTTAATAATAGTGCTTAAAAGGGGGGTTAGCAGGAGTTGAGTGCAACAGCAGACTGGTAGTTGTGAGCTCAGCAAGAGCATAAAAACCTTAACAAACCCTTTTGGGTGATAGGTAAAATTTGAAACTTTCTTTCTTTCTTTTTTTTTTTTTTTTTAAATTAGGAAGCACTTCCGCAGAGAACCCGGTAAATGTAAACATCGCCAACTTTGGCGATAATAGTTCAAACCTGGTAACCTAGCTAATTCATCCTATTCGCTTATGCGAAGGTTGTCGTTGTTCGCCTTTGGAGATTTATATTATTTTTCTCTTATTTATTATTATTTTTTCTGAATTTTTTAACAACGAATAGATAGAAATATTTTCGCGTAATTAAAGAAGTTTTCGTCGAAAGATGCCGGTTCTCGGGGTCGTCAGTTCGGGATCAAAGGAAGAAATTATGGCGGGAGGGGTGAATGCTAATTTGTAACATGGCTGTTCACGTTATGTTCTTAATTATTAACAGCTGTAAGCACGCAGATCCATGAGGTTTCCAACCCCTATAATAATTTTAAAATGTATAAAGTTCTAGTTTTATTAAAAGTGCTACTGAAGAAAATTTGATTACTGTTGAAGGTTATTTGTATTGTGAAATATATTATGAAAAAGGATAGGTATTTGTTTCAACGTAAAATGCTTTAAGCTGTATGCAAGTAACTTGGAAAAAAAAAAAAAACTTAAAACTATGTAAAATGGATATATTAAAGGTCATGCATTCATTAATTTATACATCAATCAACAGGCAAAGTACTTAATAGTGAAAAAAAGACATTTGTAATAGAAATATTAGTATTCTATATGAATTAGAGAAAATACATATAAGTATATTGTAAACGTAAGTATGAGAAAACTAATTGTTATTTTTTAAATGAATTTTTACTTCCCGTTATGTTTAATACATTGTTTTCTGTGCTAACTTGAATTTAATAGAAATTTATTTTCGTATATCACGTTTAACCTGTTGGTTTTATATCTACATACTTATTATCTGTGAATTTTTACTACCATTGTCTGCTAACTTGAATTTACATCACTAAAAACCACGTTTACAAATTATCATGTTTACGGCTCGGCTCAGCTTGGCGAGTAAAACTGCAACGGCGCCAAAGGGTTCTTTCCCGAAACGCCAACGCGTTCTCTGCGGATGAAAACCCATTATTTTATTTATTTTTTTAATGAAGATCAAGTTAAAAGAGTTAGCTTTATTTTAAAATTAACTAGACTGAGTTGTCAGTGCCTTCAGTTAACATGACTGAATTCAGAAAAATTAATCACAGTTTCTGTGGGAATTTTTTAAAAATTTATTATTGGATCTTTGACAAACATATGCATTATGAGGTTGACAAAAAAGAATAAAAGTTAGTTTATGCACCCCCCACCCAAAACCCAAAAAAAAACAAAAAAAAAAAAAAAAAAAAAAAAAAAAAAAAAAAAAAAAAAAAAAAAAAAAAAAAAAAAAAAAAAAAAAAAAAAAAAAAAAAAAAAAAAAAAAAAAACAAACTCAGTAAAAAAAATGACATAGACATAAAATCAATCTCATTTAAAATGAAGAATTCAAGCTTTATGAATTCATGGATTTTTTTTAAGATTACAGACTCACTTATTTCTCAGGGGTGCAAGTTATCATAATGTATGAGTCATTTCAAAATCAAAATAGTTAAATGTGTTAGAATTTAGACTGCAGATCCTTTATCTGAAGGCCTACCAGCAGCCAAGCGGTAAAAACGCTGAACACTGGTAGTCCGGTCCAAGGTTCGAAACCCGCGAACGGGCTGGCTGCATGGGCATTTTCATGGTTTTCCCCATGTGTAACGTGTATACGAACCAGTTTCCCTTAGAAAGTCCTCCACAAAGGCATCTCTCCCCTTGGACAGATAGCCCTGTTGTGCTTTGCCATAATCTCAATAATATCTGAACATTCTGCACGTTACTAGAAGCCACTAGGTACAAGAAAAGCTGTTGGGGGAAATCTAATCTTTTGTATTTAGGTTCTTATTTAACTTCCAAATTCACAAAACGGAAACTTCCATGAGTTTTCCACCTTTTGAAATCAAAAAATTATCCACAAAAGTCTGCATACAGACTAAATTTTAAATTAAAAAAAAAACA